GGTCGGAAAATAATTTTGACTGTGAAAGTGCACCAGTTACACATACATTGCACAAGTAGTTGTAGCTGATATCCATTAAAACACCGAAAAAAAAATATTCTTGTTTCAAAAAAAGAGGATTTTTCTACACAACTAAAATGTTAAATGAACTAATGTTGAAGTGAAATTAATCTGAAGGAACAAAATTGCCCTTAGCTTATGACCACAAGATAGTCCGTGCGACTGCATGCAGTGTGTATATGTTGGTTTCGGCAATCTTCTTCCGATTATTTCGAATTTTTGAACCCTTAGTGCACGGTGCATTAGTTACACATTTCTGATCGTAGACATAAAGTCAACGTTCAAAAGGAACTGATATGGGAATTTCTCACAACTGACTTCCTGAATACTTCCCTCTAGTTTCTATACAATGTCAGTTGCTTGTTGTGTCATATAGAAGTAGAAAACAGTATTTTTACTGACAAAAGATCTCCTGAAGCGTATTTAATTTAACAACCTTAAGGTTTCCAGTATTTCTTTACTCCTGTAGAGACTTTTATGGTAATTATTTTGACAAGAATGTCACCGATTTAAAGCTTCAATTGTTTTTGGAAAACGATTCACCATCTGCTCCCTGAGGCAAAATTTTGGCGGGAACTTGTCATGTGCATGACTAGTGTTGCGACAAGAATATTTTTCACATCTTTTCATGGTTTCTCGACGGCTTCTTCAAAAACTGAAAAAATCGCCAAAGGCATATTTATAAGAGAAAAATATATCTGTTCAATTCTTTACAGTTTGTTTTTGAGTTTTCTACGCTATTATTAAAGCTTCATTTTACAAGAAAATATTTCACGACCTGTAATTTGTTTAAAAAGGATATCCATGAAACCGCACAGCAGAAAACACTTCCGATTAAATCTCTTTCAAAATAAATTACTTATAATTCCTATATGCAATATTAAGATACAAGTGCGATGATTTGAATTATCCTTTAAGAAAATCATCTCTTTGTATTGGCACTGTGGCGTATACTATCCAAGGATGAAAATATAGCTATAAATTCTTGGCACTTATGAATTTCAAAACGAAATGAAAACTTATGGCATTCATAGTGATTCATTTTGTTATTGCTCTTCGTCAATCCCTCCGGGAGCAATGGGTGCAATGGTTAGATGCAACTCGAGTCCGTCAGTAACTTTTGATAAGAGATTTTGTCATACGTTTTATCGATGAGGGCCCGATAGTTTTATACTAATACCATCACCAAATTACTTTAACTACATCTTATTTAGTGGTGGGTTTAGAGAAAGAGTCGGGGACCAAATTTCAGTGGCGTAGCAAGGCCATTTTTAAGTGTACGCCCGAATCGCATCGAGGAGTTCGAGGTCCCCTAAGCTGGTCCAGGGCAGGAGACCTTCTGGTAGGTCGCGAACCCCCCCCCCCCCCTGAAGTTCATATCTGTCATTAAAAACTCATATCAATAGCAACATACTTGATCGGATATAAGAACAAAACTGTACGATAAAAGAGATGATTTCAGCTTCCAATTTTGAACTACTTTTCTTTTCTATATAGCAACATTCCAGCAGCACCTGCATATAAACCTCCCAGTTGACAAGACATTACAGAGCTTGCATTTCCTATCATTATTTCCTTGATAGATGGTTGCTGCTTAGAAGGAAGCTACTGAACCAAGTGAAGAGTTCCAAGTGGTGAAGTTGAAATCATCCCTTCGAAAATTTCACGGTCGACATCACGAGTAGGTTGACCGTTATGGATATCTGTTTCACTGATTGCTAATGGCGACGGATATGTTCAAATTTTGATATTACCACAATCCCATCCTCTTTTTCCTCGAGTGTGACCTACCGAATTAGACTTATCACTGGGTTTGTACATACATCAGCAACACGACGGGTGCCACACGTGGAGCAGAATTTGCTTACCCTTCCGGAGTACCTGAGATCACCCCCAGTTTTTGGTGGGCTATGTTGCTCAGTCTTTTGTTTTGGTGTTGTGTTTTGTATACTGTTGTTTGCCTTTTCGTAGTTTTCGTTTTTTGCCATGGTATTGTCAGTTTGTTTTAAACTGATGAGTTTGAATATCCCTTTGGTATCTTTCGCTTCTCTTTAAGAGTCTAATTTGTTTTTTTATGTTAAATTTATCAATTTTGTGTTTATTTGGAATTTAATGTACATTTAATTAAGAGAAAAATGTCCAAACCAGTTGCTTTAAAATATGTCTAAAAGGAGATGTGGGGTAAACAATCAATCAACAAAAAAATCTAAACTTTAAATAGATAGTAAAAAAGCAAGTCTCCGTTTCAATGTTGTCATTCTATTCATTTTTTTACCTTATTTAATTTACTCACCTTTAAATTCAAATTTCATTTATGGACACATGTCCTAATTAATTCTCATAGATGATCAGGTGTAACGTAAAATAAATATTGAACTGTAACATAAAAATGCAAACCACATCGTATCTCAGCAGATAATGAATTGATCTAAACAATAGTAAACTGAGTAGAATTCACAGTAGATTCAGACTTTGGCAGAAAATGAACGAAAATATAATATAAAATATGAAAACAACACGTTATTAATTTCATGCGTCCAGAGCGCTTTTCTGGATTTACCTTCACCAGGAACGTTCAAAGCCGAATATTTGAAAGCCGAGGATGCATAAGAACCGAAACAGTTGCAGAGCTATATGACCAAAAAGTATATAAAAATGATATGATACCAGTTAAAAAGTAAAGGAGTAGGCCCGGTAAGACCCTTTTTTGGCCCCAAAATATAGCATTTTTTAAAATTTGTTGAAATGTAAACTTTAAGCTATTAATTGGAAAGTAGAATACTTTTGTTCAATAAATATGGGCTGTTGTTGACAACACAATGCACATTTGTGCTAATTTTAAGACGGTTTTTGTCTAAAATGCATTTGTGTTCAGTCTTAATATTCAAATATATGTTGTATTTGATGGTTATATATAACATATATAAAGGTTGAGACTGAACACGAATGCGGCCACTTACATTTTAGACAAAAACCATCTGAAAAGTGACGTTTAATGGCATATTTGATAGATTTTTCATATTTAAGCTTAAATTTGAGCGTCTTTAATGACCAAATCATTTCAAATCATATTACATAAACTAATTGAATCGACTGAAATAGACACTTAAGTGTTTAAAAAATATCAAAAATCTTTCATCAGATGTACTTCGAATTTTAGGCCAAAACTAGCCGTTACCGGACCTTCTACTTTCCGGCATCACTTTGTCTTTTATCTTCAATTACAAGTCATTGGAGAAAGAAATTCTGAATTACAAGGCTCGTGTGCTTTTAATCAGTTCTTTTGATTTATTTGGGTTAAAATATTTTTTCTTCAAATTTATGTGTACGCCCGGGCGTTTTGACGTAAACGTAGCTACGCACATGCCAATACACAAAGAAATAAAATAAAATATTATCAATATAGGATATTATTACAGTATGAAGCATTTAGTGTAATGAGGTCGATCTTATAAATATAATAAAAAAATATATATAATATTTATTAACAGGAAACAATAGAACCAGAAATATAGGTTCTCATTTTGAAGTAGTTCTCCTCATGACCAGTGCAAAGCAGCGAGGAACTTTACATCACATGCAGAGATCATCAAGGGGAGGTAATTCAGAACCAGCTACGGATATTATGAGATTATCCCTAATAATGGTTCTCCTCATGACTAATGCACATAAGCAAGGGGTTGACATTGAAATACATATTTAAATAAATTACATATATTACAATCATTTAGATCTACCATCTATAAACAGATTTTAGTTTATGCTGTGTCGGATCCATAGGCGGTCTACCAGCATATATGCAGTATTTTTTTATCGAAGTAAGATCAAATTGGAGTTTTGAATAGAATTTCAATACCGTTTAACCATTTGTCGTCTGCCTGTTTCTATTTTTCAACATTGATTCTGCTTGCACACATACAATAGGTCTCATGATGGTCAGCTTTTCCGCTACTGAAAAAGACAATAAAAAGAGTCATACAAAAGAACTTTTTTATTGTCATTTTTGTTTCTTAGTTGATGTTAATTAGTTTCACATTTCAAAAAAGTGAAAAAAATATTTGTGCGTATTACAGCATCATGCAACATTGACTTAATTGACAGATTCATGTTTGTTAGTAACATATTTTGACAAACTTTGTGGTTGAACATTTTCTCGAACGTTCTTCGATTTTTCACGATTAACCGTATCGTATAATAAATATCATTGCATGCTTTGGAAATGTAAAGAATTTAATCGAGGAATAAAACACTTTTTTGTACTTTTTTCATAGAGAGATGAATAGATTTGACAATAATCTAATGCAGTTATTCGTATATGTGAGAGAGAAAATCGACATCTGATTAGTTTCAGATACTTCAAGTATGATTCAATCATCAACCTAAGTCCTTGTCATATATATTACATCTTAATTTCTCGACCTTATCTTATATTTTGAAGCTGGAAAAAGTAACCTATCCCAACGGCTCATCCCTACCACTCATTACATAGTAAGTGGCATCCACGCGGCGTTTTCGTGAAAAATCATCGATTTTGGTCAATTTTCAGATAGTTTTTGGACCAGCCAAAAAGAGCACACGCAAGTACCAACTGAATAATGTACCATGGTGTTTATCTTCTTGTACAACATCTGTCATGCAAATATTTTGTATGTGGTCAATTATAATTCCCACTCCCAAAATATGCGTGAAAAGAATGCCAATATTGTCTGGAAATTATGTTATTTTCTAAGTAAATACCATAATATCGTAGTTTCACTTTGCACACACTTATCAATTATCTTTATGTCAAATTCACCTTATTTTGTAATACTTCATTTTAGGGCGAAAATGGTCCTTAGTGCACCTAATACTTTCATAAAATCAAGTTGATATTATTTTTCCGGAAAAACATATACAAAGTCGATCCGATTTTGTACCTTTATATAAGTTATCATCGTGACGTCATACAGATTTTGAACGTCAACAAAAATGTTTACTGTGAAAAACAATGCATTCATGGAAAGCATTAGCGATAGTTATCATTGAAGTTGTATTGTGTACAGAGGGGTTTACAGGTAGGAAAAGTGAAGAAAATCTGGTCTTGACGTTTATGGATAAATGGGACCCATATCCTCTTTATTAATAATATTATCATGTTTGATGTCAAGGACACGAATGATATCAAAAAGAAGAGAAAAGTACCAAGATGTGGATCAAAAACCATAAGTCGATGGAGAAAGACTTACAAAATCATTGCCAAATTTCAAATAGTAAAACTCTACACACATACAAAACAAAAAATTGAAATGCAAACACATCTTTTTTAGACAAATGACAAACTTGACCGTAACCATTAGAAACAACACCTATAGGTAAAAACAAGAATTTGAAGAAATAAATTCATGAAGCTGCTTAGCTCATATTTTAGTCACTGTCTATGCCGTATTCCTCGCATTCTGATCATCTATCAAATAGTTGATTTGAGTATGTATCCTTTAGGGGGCAGTGTACATACCATCTCTGGATTCAGTTAAACATCGGGATGCAAAATTTATGCAAGAACTAGCATAGCGATAGCTTTAATCCCATGTAGGCCTATATCAGTATAGTAAAAAGGGTCTTGAAGAGGATTGTTTTCAAGAAGAAGCTGTTACATGTAGTTTCTACCACTTCATTGAGTAAGACACGATATTTTTTAAGCCGAAACAGTTAAAAATATTTTCATTTAACTAGTGTCGAAAGAGGAGGGCAATGGTATCACAGGCAGTTCTGTGGCGACATTTGACACATACCTGATGACCTCTCACATAGAACACACTGTAAGATAAAGTTTATGAATCGGAGTTGTGGGTTATACATCAACGAGACAGAACACCAACGACATATTCCAATCAAAAGGAATGTGTGGTTACAGTTATCTGCCCAGTCACAGAACGATCACATACAACTGATAAATACATTTTAGGACGGTAGATCTTGCATTATGTGTAAAGGATAGGGTTTTATGGCCAACACTAAAATTTGCACTAAATTCCAAATAAATGATCAAAGTAAAATTTGCCCTTGGATTTCGAATTCATTCATTCGTAGCAAAAATTTCATATTCATATTTACCACCATGACGAACAACACTGTCCAGGACAGATCTGAAGTCCTGTCTGGTTCCAAAACGACTCCGCAAAAAAAAAGAGTGACATCTCTTTTCTACAGCATATTAAGTCCATATCGTTTGCTTTCAACGTTTTTGTTCGGACTTTTTTTTTACTATCAAAACAATAAAAAAAGGTATAGGACTATACAGCAGATATACTATATATATGAAAGATTATTAATTCCTTAATACCCAAATCTATTTCGATGCTTTCAAATTCACGTATATCCCAGATCTCCTTATACTCATATTCGAAGATATCGGCAGTTTTGCTTAATGCCCCCCTGGCAGATATAAAGATATTGGGATAATGACAGGGCAGATATGGAAAAATCAAGCATAAATCTATATAATTATCCAAACGAAAATGTTAATACTATTTAGACAAACATTTTAATATACTTTTAGGGCATTTTAGGAATGTGCCAGAAGATGTGGAAGTAAGCAACGAACAAATAGTTGAAGTACCAGTTGATAGTTTTTTCGGAGTATTTAATGACCCGCTAGGCAACATTGGGCAACAAGATGATGATAGTAGATTTCCTAGAAACTGGCTACGAACAGATACTGAAACCAGAATAAAGAAAAAGCGGAAACCCCAAAAAGAACATAAAGATCACAATCGTCCAAGGTTGGAATTATTACATTTACTTAAAGAAAAGATGAGGCTACATGACATTAAGGGGATTTCTGGGAAGGAAAAGAACAGAGACAGGAAAGATGATAACATTTGGGCAGAAAAAGTGAATACTACTAATTCATCTCCTGCTGTTTTACAACCGGTGAAACCATCTAAATGGAGACTATTTCTTTACGGTAAAATTTCTTTCATTGAATCTATAATTGTATTTCCAATTCTGAAATTCTTATAGGTTTGCAGGTTTAGAACTTGGTGTACTGTCTGTGTTAGTAATAATCATAATTTTATATACATAACTGTCAACTAGGTTTGCAACCACGTGGGATCCATCACAATATTTTATTTCTTTTTTCTATCTTTTTATTGAATTATTATCATAAGTCCCATCAGCAATGCATAATACGTCATTAGTGAGAGGAAAATGCTTCTTTCTATAGTTTTATTCAGATCATATAAACTGCAGATAGAAGCAATTGAATGCTTTAACCTATAAATAATGTTAAACTTTTCGTATACTAGTCATATCATACCTGTCATTTGCATTATTGAAACGCGCAGGCAGTCATGAACGACGTTCCGTTTTATTAGTTAATTCAGTTCCAATTCATCTGTATAAGATAAGATAAATTTTATTTGCAATAGAGGACCCATTATATAGGCATAATCAGTACATAAGAAGATAGACAACTCGATTTGCCTAGCGAATAGATATGTATTTTAACAACTTGACGTTATAATGCCGACTAGAAGCGTTTTTTCTCTAAATCTAAATGGAACATAAAACATGTTGATATTGTTGTCTGACTATTCAATGATTGAATTTTATGAAAAATCTATTTGATGTGATTATTCAGCAATAAATAAAAATATACAATAACATGAAAAATTTAAAAAAGTCTGGTCTACACACGAGGTCAAAAGTGTTGCACCTTTTGAAAATTCCACTATACTTTTAAGGAAATTACTTTTCAAAGACAAATATGAATTTCTGTACGTATAGAATATGGCTTTATAACAAAAATGAAAATTTCAATATTATGAATAATGATTTCTCAGTAAATGACATGTGATAAAAAAAAATCATAGTCATAAACAACATTTCTTTAAAATCGAACCTGTAATAAGTTTTTGGTAATGTTTTAAAACAAAATGTCTTTTTATATGAAATATATGTACGGGGAGTTTCCAACACTGAAGTAATTGAGCATTTTTTTTTAAACAACGTAGTTTTCCATTCCCTCTGGTAAGACAATATATAATTTAGAAAATTGCATTAGTTTTTTTATATACGCAGACTAACTAAAGTATACTGCGTGCATGCGTTCATATTGTATAACTTTATTGCATCTTCAGGATTCGGATATTTTTCCAAGTGAAAAATGAAACCGATACTAATATGTATTTCAGATCATAGTCTTTGGTTTGGAATAGCAGTAGGGGCTACAATTTCTTTAGCAGTAGTGATGTTAAGTTTACTCACTTACAATTTCATTCAGAAGAACCGAAGGTCAGTTTGTTTCTAAAATGAAGACTTATCACACTTAGTAGAGTATAAAAAAATATATGGTAGGAAACAAATAAATTATTAAAAAAAAGTACAAAAAAGCACATCCAAATTAAATCGAAACAAGATTTTTTTTAAGCTGAAATTGAGTTTTTTTGTACTGTAGATTTATACATTAAAAGATAATTTCATGTGCACTGTATGACGTATGAGGGTCTGTATGGAGTTGCGAAGTAGAGAATAATAGACAAAAAATGAAGATTATAGAATAACGGGGTGCAAAATAGATAGAGAATAACGGGCAAAAACACGAAAGAATATAGAAAAAATTGTCAAAACTAAAATAATACAAAAATAAAGACTCCCCTTTCCTCTCTAGACTCTCTTGTGTCATTCAAAATGAAGACCCCCTTTCCCTCTAGACCCTCTTGTATCATACACTACATAGACCCCCTTTCCCTCTAGATTTTCTTGTATCATACAATTTAAAGACCCCCTTCCCCTCTAGACTCTCTTGTATCATACACTATAAAGACCCCCTTTCCCTCTAGACTCTCTTGTAAAGTTTGAAATATAAGTGATTGAATTATGAATTTGACCTCAGTTGACCCCTGGATATCAAATTGGCTCTGTGGAATACTTGTATGGCACTCAAAAACGAATAACAAAACTTGACAGAACCCGCATCAATGAATGTGTGCAACTAATGAAACAACCTTTAATGTATTTCAAAAGTCGACAAAAGCATTAAGAATTGAAGAAAAAACTGAGTAGCTCTTTCAGGATCTTTTAGTGATCAATACAAAAGAATGCTAATTCTGAAGCTCAATGATAACTGCGACACTTATTTCATTAATGTATGATGAGTGTATCATAAAAATAAAATTTTAAGAAGACCCAGGTGCGTCGTATCAAAAAATCATCAATATCGATCAAGGCGAGATAATCCAATCGAAAGCCTGTATTTATTTTTATCTCGAAAAATTTTACTTCTGTACAAACCCACAGGCACTTGTCTCAGAAAAAAAATTTCCTATATACCTTAATATAACATTTTTTTTTCTGAGACAAGTGCCTGTGTACAAACCGTATACCAAATTACCAGTTATAAAAATCAAAGTCCGTCGAACTATAATATTATTCAAATATTATATTCGTGCGATTTTTTTTTACATTTGCAGACGAAACTATTGTGTAGACCTGAACAACTTGAGCCTGTGTACTCTAGGGAACGGGAATCAAAAGAAAGAACCAGTATATGTACGTCTGTCTCAACTCCATAATACAAGACATAAGAAACCCGGAGAGTATATAGTGAGTGTGTACGTATCAAAATATATTCTGACAGTTGTGTCTTATTGCTTTTTAAGTTTTCGCTTCGATTTCGTCAACATTTGAAATACTTTACGCTCGTTACGTTTGTCACAACATTTATTGATGCGGGTGCTATAAAGTTTTGGATTTTTTTAATTTTGCATGTCTTTCCAGTAATCCTGATTATCCATAGTCCCGATTCAATTTCTGTAGGTCTCAACTCAGGTCAAATTTGTTTAAATTTTAGTCAACCGTTTCTTTTGTTCTCTTTTTGCTCTTACCAATTTTTGTATGATTTTAAAACTAAACTAAAACGATGAAACAAAGGGATAAAAAGGGTGTTTATTTAACGTGCAAAGAGCAATGCATCCTCTCAACAATTGGCAAAAAAATTCATACATCTCTATTTCGTTCGAAAAACCGCAAAACCTGTGCTTTTTTGGAAATGTAATGTACACACACAAATGTGACAAAAAAAGACAAAATAACTGACTTAAAACCCCTCCGCATATTTATGTGCTTGTCCTAAGTCAGGAACTTCGTCAGCGACTATCTTATGACATACTTTAATGTTTTTATTTTTTGTTTATTTGGAGAATTAGACGTGATGACAGATCTTTGATTGTTTCTGCATTTATTCACATTCTTATATAGACTGGGGACTGTTTAGCTGTTGACATATTGAAGCCTGTTCTGTAGATGTATTTTAATTATATATTTGTCGTTGGGTTGCTGTCTCATTGACGTATACCCCATATCTCCATTTATCCATAAACTAAGTTGTAAATGGAAACAATGAAATACAAATAGCCTACTTACGATAGGATGTGATAAAAGAAGAATTGTGACAGTGACATCTTGGACCTTACATTTGACTATTCTCCTAATGCTTGAAATTTATAAAGTTTTTTTTTCATTTACAGAATCAATATTAACTCTTACAAATAGTAAAATTACAAAAAAAAAAAATGAATATTTGTTTGAATAAAGAAAATAACTTTCTGGGATAATACATTTTTTTCAATTAGTTCACATTTTCTTTGCATTTTCTGTAAGTATATTGAGTCTCATAGATTATCTTTACGTTTTAATTTATGTAATGTTTATATAACTCTGAAATCCATACAAATCTATACCTTAAACGAGCTCAATAACATGTTCTTATATCCGGTATACATTCAACAAAAATTACGATGTTTTCCTTCTCAATAAGAGTTCCATATTTAATTAATTCTTTGTTGTTGTTTTCCTAACATAAAAGTTAGAAACTGAAGAAGATTTGGATATAAGAATATTTCTTAAATCTTTCTTTTTCTAGTATGGACCAGTCAAACAATTTTTCAGTTTGCTCCGAAGAGTCTAGCTCGGAGGAAGAAATGTTTCATATATCTGATATTCAACGTATGAAACCTCTAAAGAAAAGGTATTTATATATAATAACAAACCAGTACTATAAGAACTGCCACAAGGAGTGCAAGGCCATGATTTTTGAGAACTTCTTCAAATTTGCACATTTTATTGGGAATTGCATTTCATCAAGTTATATAAATGAATTAGACAAACTTTCAATGTTATGACGTCACAATGACGTCTTAACATTCCCTTATTTCACGAAAATGGAGAAAAAACCTGATTGTATTCAGTTTGGCGTACATATTGCCTATGTGGAAACATCGTGCACAGCAAAGAAACCATAAAATAATTCCAAAAACGTTTTTTTTTTATAGCTATCAACATAATCTTACTAAATATAATACTGTTCAACATGTACTTTTCCTGTCCAACATATGCTCCAAAGTTAATATAATGCAAGAAAATTCATGAAATTTTCGAAAAAGTACCAATTTCGTCTGTTGCAATGGTAACCCGACAAATGTGAAACAGTGCGATGTTTTTTTGTTTAGGGCCAGTTGAAGGTGCGGGGTTTTCTCGCTGTGTTGAAGACACATTGGTGGCCTTGGGCTGTTTTGTGCTCTTTGGTCGGGTTATTGTCTCTTTGACGCAATCCCCATTTCCATTCTCAATTTTATTTCATTTTCTTACCACATGTTATCTCAGTCTTGTTGTGGTAAAGTTTAGATCGTTTAACGTAACTTTTTAATTTTCATTAAACTTTTGACCAGAATGTATATGAGTTATACTCCTTTGTATAGTGAATAATTAGCATAAACAGTTGTTTACCATTCAAACTGGGATGAACCAGGGAATCTTATCTACAACATAACCAAAGACACCTTCGGGTATCAGTTTTAAAGTCAGTGGAAAAAACTACAAGACGCAAAGAAAAATGGGAAACGTAATATGTTCATCGAAATAATAAAATATGATTCCTTTGTAAATGTGATAATTATTTTATCAAAGAATCTTCTTTTTTTAGCGCATCTAAAATAAGTATGACTTCAACACCAGTAAAGATGACGCCTGCGCAGCACATTGAAAATTTAGGAACTCCGGAGAAAACCAGAATTGAATCACCTGTGGCCTCACCGATTATCACTGACCAAGAAGAAGAAGAAGACGAGGACTGATTTGGCAAATAATCATTATATATTATGTATATATGTACTTGTTATAATCTCATTAAATTGATGTTATGAATTATTGGTTTTTTTGTATCAAAACGTTTTTCAAGACTGTCGTCCGCTCATATGATTTTGTGCATGATGCTATACATGGGCGATTTGTCCGTTGAAAAGAGTAAAATTGATTTATGTAGCATGGAACTTTATATTAAACAATTTATCAGTTGTTTTTTTATGAGATAAATGGCTTTGAATATGAATGACCTTTACAGACAGGCATCTAGTGGTTCTTTCGAATTTAATATTCGTAGATTTCTAGAACACCAAAAAAAGTATAGTTGCATTCTTAAAATCATTTTTCGGTCGTTGTTTAATTTCAATTTTTGAAAGCTGTTTCATAAATCTATTCTTTTTATGGTATTCAACTGGTAATATAAAACTAGATTAAAAATAAGAAGATTTGGTATGATGACCAATGAGACAAAAAGATAAATATTGCCGTTATATACTCAAATATAATTTTTAAACACTTAATCACAGTGATATTGTACATGTTGCTATTTTTAACAAGTGACTGAACGTATTCATTTGTGCTGATTTGATGAGCAAAGGACCATAGTATCAAAGTAATAAAAACTGTTTGAGACAGAGATATATATATCTCGCCCGTCGGCAGAAAAATTGAAATAAAGACAATCTGATATGTATTGATAGTAATGCAATTTTATACAAAATATCATTGATCTGTCACAAGTAGTTCCTTTCAAACTGACTTGAGCAGAAAACTTAACATTGAACATTGCTAATATAATAATTTCAACAATGAGCGAAACCCATACCGTATAGTCAGCTATAAAAGGTCCCTCCTAACCCTCCATAACAAAAGGACAAAAATATAGTATGTCATTCAAATAGTGGCGTGCTTGACTGTGCTGTTACACCACTGTTCCAGGTTAGGGGAGGATTGAGCGCTCACAAACATCTTTAACCCCCCCACATTCTTTATGTTCCTGTCCCAAGTCAGGAGCTTGTAGTTCAGTGGTTGTCGTTGGTTCATGTCTGTAATATTTGTATTTTGTAAATTGTTTTGTTATAATTTAACCGTTATTTTTCTCGTTTGAATTGTTTCACATTTTTCATGTCAATGCCTTTTATAGCTGACTATACGGTATGGGTTTTTTTTTCTCACGATTGCCTTTAATTGCTAACATCCACTTTATTTGATCTCTGGTGAATAGTTGTCTCATTGGCAATCATATACAATTTCTCCTTTTTTACATCGCGATGACCTTGAGGTCATCCCGATGTATTGCTATCGCCTAGATTTCCATTATGTAAATTAGTTTTGGGTTTGTAACCGATCTATAAACATGATAAATACGCGCACATAAACGAGTGCAAAATAACATTCCTTATCGTTTGATATAAATACATCTCTTCAATGAATACTGATAAAAATATTTTTGTTTACAACATAAATTAATAATATGAAAATGTTTTGTAGTTAGATATATATATATAAGTAAAAAATCATTGATAATATCAATGCACACGTACCGAAAAATTGTGTTAAAGCATGCGGAAGAATATCTCAAAGAACGTTTTGTGAAAATACCGTCAAGGACCGGTAACTCTGTAATTGATTTTGCGGGAAAATATGAATGCCTACTCGTATCCAATCTTAGAAAAATCGAATTTTTACAGAAAAGTGTCCACCATGCACTTGCATTGCACTATTTTTAGAATAGTAGAATAGAATGATATACAAATGGATTCAAATCATATATATATGTAACTGTTATTTAAATATAATATAAACAACAACTCAGTGTATACTGACTTGTATCACTACAATATAATAGTTATTACGGTGAAGTTGAATTTCCTGTCATTTATTCATCATCCACGCACGAACTTGTCTCAGAAAAAAATATATCTCTGTACATTAACCTCAGTTTTAGGTAAAGAGATATGTTGTTTTTTTCTGAGACAAGTGCTTTTGACCATCCTCAAGAACTTGTGGTCATCCGATGTTCAGTACTTCAGTACTTTGATTCTATAATACTATATCTTATTTTGAGAAAATCAATACATGCAGCAGGGGTCTATATAGTGTATGATACAAGAGGGTCTAGAGGGAAAGGGGTGCTTCATTTTGAATGATACAAGAAAGTCTAGAGGGGAAAGGGGTGTCTTTATTTTTGTATTATTTCCGTTTTGACAATTTTTTTCTATATTCTTTCGTGTTTTTGCCCGTTATTCTCTATCTATTTTGCACCCCGTTATTCTATAATCTTCATTTTTTTTGTCTATTATTCTCTACTTCGTAACTCCATACAGATCCTCATACGTCATACAGTGCACATGAAATTATCTTTTAATGTATAAATCTACAGTACAAAAAAGGTCATGATTTTTGAGAACTTCTTCAAATTTGCACATTTTATTGGGAATTGCATTTCATCAAGTTATATAAATGAATTAGACAAACTTTCAATGTTATGACGTCACAATGACGTCTTAACATTCCCTTATTTCACGAAAATGGAGAAAAAACCTGATTGTATTCAGTTTGGCGTACATATTGCCTATGTGGAAACATCGTGCACAGCAAAGAAACCATAAAAAAATTCCAAAAACGTTTTTTTTTATAGCTATCAACATAATCTTACTAAATATAATAACATGTACTTTTCCTGTCCAACATATGCTCCGAAGGCAATATAATACAAGAAAATTCATGAAATTTTCGAAAAAGTACTAATTTCGTCAGTTGCAATGGTAACCCGTCAAATGTGAAACCGTGCGATGTTTTTTGTTTAGGGGCCAGTTGAAGGTACTGGGTTTTCTCGCTGTGTTGAAGACACATTGGTGGCCTTGGGCTGTTTTGTGCTCTTTGGTCGGGTTGTTGTCTCTTTGACGCATTCCCCATTTCCATTCTCAATTTTATTTCATTTTCTTACCACATGTTATCTCAGTCTTGTTGTGGTAAAAGTTTAGATCGTTTAACGTAACTTTTTAATTTTCATTAAACTTTTGACCAGAATGTATATGAGTTCTACTCCTTTGTATAGTGAATAATAAGCATAAACAGTTGTTTACCATTCAAACTGGGATGAACCAGGGAATTTTATCTACATGAACTAAACAAAAGACACCTTCAGGTATCAGTTTTAAAGTCAGTGGAAAAACTACAAGACGCAAAGAAAAAGCGAAACGTAATATGTTCATCGAAATAATAAAATTTGATTCCTTTGTAAATGTGATAATTATTTTATCAAAGAATCTTCTCTTTTAGCGCACCTAAAATAAGTATGACTTTAACACCAGCAAAGATGACGCCTGTGCAGCACATTGAAAATTTAGGAACTCCAAAGAAAACCAGAATTGAATCACCTGTGGCCTCACCGATTATCACTGACCAAGAAGAAGAAGAAGACGAGGACTGATTTGGCAAATAATCATTATATATTATGTATATATGTACTTGTTATAATCTCATTAAATTGATGTTATGAATTATTGTTTTTTTTTGTATCAAAACGTTTTTCAAGACTGTCGTCCGTTCATATGATTTTGTGCGTGATGCTATACATGGGCGATTTTTCCGTTGAAAAGAGTAAAATTGAAATATTTAGCATGGAACTTTATATTAAACAATTTATCAGTTTTTTTATGAGGTAAATGGCTTTTAATATGAATGACCTTTACAGACAGGCATCTAATGGTTCTTTCGAATTTTATATTCGTAGATTTCTAGAAAACCAAAAAAAGTATAGCTGCATTCTTAAAAACATTTTTCGGTCGTTGTTTAATTTCAATTTTTGAAAGCTGTTTCATAAATCTATTCTTTTTATGGTATTCAACTGGTAATATAATACTAGAATAAAAATAAGAAGATTTGGTATGATGACCAATGAGACAAAAAGATCAATATTGCCGTTGTATACTCAAATATCATTTTTAAACACTTAATCACAGTATTATTGTACATGTTGCTATTTTTAACAAGTGACTGAACGTATTCATTTGTGCTGATTTGATGAGCAAAGGACCATAGTATCAAAGTAATAAAAACTGTTTGAGACAGAGATATATATATCTCGCCCGTCGGCAGAAAAATTGAAATAAAGACAATCTGATATGTATTGATAGTAATGCAATTTTATACAAAATATCATTGATCTGTCACAAGTAGTTCCTTTCAAACTGACTTGAGCAGAAAACTCAACATTGAACATTGCTAATATAATAATTTCAACAATGAGCGAAACCCATACCGTATAGTCAGCTATAAAAGGTCCCTCCTAACCCTCCATAACAAAAGGACAAAAATATAGTATGTCATTCAAATAGTGGCGTGCTTGACTGTGCTGTTACACCACTGTTCCAGGTTAGGGGAGGATTGAGCGCTCACAAACATCTTTAACCCCCCCCCACATTCTTTATGTTCCTGTCCCAAGTCAGGAGCTTGTAGTTCAGTGGTTGTCGTTGGTTCATGTCTGTAATATTTGTATTTTGTAAATTGTTTTGTTATAATTTAACCGTTATTTTTCTCGTTTGAATTGTTTCACATTTTTCATGTCAAGGCCTTTTATAGCTGACTATACGGTATGGGTTTTTCTCACGATTGCCTATGCCTAACACATGCAGCAGATGTCAGTAGGATTTGAATTTCATATACATATATATACATGTACATGTAAATGAATTATTGTCGATGGATTTACAGATCCGAGAGCGATTTATGTGTTATTGAATAGTGTTCCCTCCCAAAAATTCGATTGGGGGATGGATGCAAAATGTTTTGTTCGATGTTTACGTGCAGCTTTTTGTGTGTTGTTAGGTTACTGTCTATTTGACGTTTATCCTACATCTCTTTTTATTTATTTAATTGTTATTTGGAAAATCAGAGAAGTCAAACGGACTTCAAATCATAGGCTTAACATCTCCTTTATTTATTTCAATAATTTATTATTTCAAATTTTTTATTCTCAAACTTGTTCCTCGATCAAAAAGAAAATTTGCAACTTCTTTCCTTTTCCGTTTCCGCCGTTTAGCGACACCCGAATAGGA